AAGACGTTAAAAAAGTCCCTTCGGGCGTAATATAAATTCTAAAAGGCTTCCGGATTTTTTTTTATTTCTTTTCTTTTTAAAACAAGCGTATGCATATAGGTTTAAAAAAATCGCAGTTATGTGCATGTGGAATCATGAGGCTAAAATGCTTGGAAAGGACTGAGGGAAAAAATTATAATGCAAGTTAAAATTACATTGTACCGTTAAGCTTCTTATAAAGAGAAACTGTCGAAAAACTGTCTTTTAAAACTGAGCTGTCTTTTTAATTTTCTGAAATATATTCTTTGAAAAATAAGCAAAAGCAACAAAACTTTTTTAATCTCTTTTAAATATACTCATAGCAAGATAAGTACATGGAAATCAGCAGCAATATTTAATGTATTTCACTATTGAAATAAAAGCTGCTCTAATTTGAAATTAACTGAACAGAGCATTAATTATAAAGTGAGTCTGTTTTTTTATTTAAAGGATGCCTAAAGCTAAAAAATCATTTTGTATTTGAGAAAGTATTTTAGGAAAAAGCCCTGTAAATAGGAAAGAAATAATGTGTAATTTTGATGTTTAAATAAACTTTGATCTTAATTTTTGCTATTGTTAACCAAATAAAATAAAATTACCTTAAATTTTTTTCTGATGTAATTAACAAAATTTTGTGAAAATATTTTATTCAAATTAAACTGTTCTGGGAAAAATATAGCATTTAATTCTGTTTAGAATGAAACCTTGTTTAAAAATGTTTTCTTTCTACATACTTATTACTCTGAAGTATTATGGAAAAAGAAAATATATACATTTATATGTATACTATTTACAATGTAATTACAAAATGTTTACCTCCAATCATGCCAAAATCTATTGATCTTAATGGATAGTCACTGAACGTTTTGGTCTCTATGAAGTGTGTGCCATTGCTTCAGTGCAGTACACGGGGAAAAACCAGTTAGGACCTCTCCTCTTATTTCTACCTTCATGATTTAACTGATGATTTTGGATCTTTTGAGTGCTTCTGGGGTAGACAGCTCAGTTTTAAAAGAATATAAAGTAAAAATAAAATAGATCTTTCCAGGCTGTATATTTCTGTAACAATTTGTTGTCTTAGAATATGAAGTACACTCTGCTTAACGTGATCGTTGTTAATGTTATCATTTGGATGTTGTTATCGAATTGCTTAAATTCCGTCCGTTTGCATACGAAAGTTTAGAAAATACACCGCTTATTGTGATGAACAGTTTGGTTAATGTAATCATAACATCATAGAATAAATTTATAAATTGAAGTAAATTACTAAAAAAGTTAAAATTTTTTATAAAAATTGCCACGTGACATAGAAATGTCTCCAAATAGCACAATAAGCCGCTAATTAATTCAGTTTCGATTTTAATAAAACATTTAAAAGTAGGCGAAAATGATGGCGTAGATTTTGAATAACTCTATCGATCTTGAGGGCGATCAGTCAAAGGTCCCTCTTCTTTAGGAGCAAACAAATTTCTGCAGAATTCCTAAAGAAAACAGTTCTCTGAAAACACCTACGCCAAGCTAAAGTTGCTTTCTTCGGTAACTGCAAATTTTAGTCCAATGAGGGATTCTCTCTGATTAAGATTAGGAATACAGCATCGGTCAAATCATTTACAAAAATGTTACGAACAGTTCATAAACAAACTTTTCATAATTAAAATGCTGTGAAACTACTTATTAACATGCTTATACATGCAGCTGTTTAAATCCATTGCTAGTTTGAAGGATATTGCTTCTCGTCGTTCAATGCTATCGAAACAGTCGTAGACGAATGTGATCGCATCAAGCGGCACCTACTTGTATTGCATAAAAATGAATATATTTGTATAAAGTTTAATTTCTATGCAAAGCATAGTTGATTGATTGCTTAATCGATAAAGACCACACAACGCGTGGATTATCTATCGTGGAAGAGGGTTACTTGGAGGAATTTCCAGAAGAAATTGGTTTATATCTGTATGCAGAAAACCACAGATACATGAACGTATCCTCCCGTTCACAGTGTTTGCACCATCAGTGTTTTAGCGACTGGGGCCGCTGGTGATACGTCCAAAGCATTCAAAAAGCGCACAATAACTATTCAACAACTATCCATTCGATACAAATCTTTTGCATTAATAAGTTAAACCTCTTATATATAGTTTGTGAGGAAAACTCTAGGCGCATTGCAAAACGCCTCGTCCAATGGGTCTTTTCTTATATATAAAACTACACGTGAACATAATTTTGATTCAATTAATGTACTTAGAAATTCTTTGCATGTTTAGCATAAAAAGACTGGTACCAAAGATCTTTCTTATTATCTGTCCACTTACCAGAGAACATTACCTTAAAATGCCAGCAACAATATCCAAACCTACTGCAAGTTAATGGTAAAACATCGTCATCTAGTGACAAGAATCACACGATTATCGATAAGCTTGCAAAATTCCTTGTTATACGATTTTTTTTTTAAATAGGAACGATGCCTATTTATTATGAGTATATTATTATATTAGAAACGATGCCTATTTATTATGAGTTTATTATTAGTTATTAGGAGTATTTTTAATGTGTACTATTATAAAATATATGTTATGCAGCAAAGTAATCTGCGAATCTGAAATTATGTGATAATTATGCAACTTATTAGTCCAGAGGGGCTTTGTCTCTGAAGGACTATTGTTTTCGTATTGCGATTTTGCGTTGAATCACTATAAAAATCCGTTTCACTTTTCAAACTGTTGCCACCAAATGTTAGAGTCTTGCATCCTGCATTATATTTGAAGAAATTGAATAATGAAAAATCTGCATAAATGTATGTATATTTCTCGCATTTGTGATAAAACAACGGTACATAGAACATCGAATTTTGAATGATGTAATCCTCTTACGAATATGGGCATGTGGAAGATAAAATGTGAAATTTGGAATTTGTTTTATTATCGGTTTCATATTTTGTAAGACTTTAACGAATTTTTGGTTAACAAACTCAAGGATTTCAAAGCGAGCAATGGCAACACTCTACGGGAGGGGAAAAAAACCTTTTTATCTCCAGCGCGTGGAACTGTGTATCGGAAATTCTAAAGATATGCTCATTCAAAAATTATTTTGCGACATTGCTATTGAACTGAATTTTATGATTTAAGAGCAAAAAACATGATATTTTAATAAATAAAGGTAACGCACAAAACGTTAAAAAACGCCCCTTCCAATTTAAAATATGAAACCTTTCAGATTTTTTTAAAATTATATAATTACGTCCTGAGACACAATATCTTACAGTGTTACTTCATGTATCCTAATGCTAGATATGCGGAGACGCGAGAGTGTACAAGTCTGCTCTTAGTAGAATGATGGTATCTCCGCCTTCTCTCAACTGACATAAAGGGTCTCATGAAATTTATCATTTATTCCTGTTTTCTTTACTGAATTTCTTGACTGAGTGTAATAGCAATGATTTTCGAACATTTTGATCCTCAGATTCCTGGTGCTTCTAAGTTCTAGTATTATTTTTAGTTTATTGTTTATGTAAATTTTAATAAATTGATTTCTATATTGTTTAATAACTTTTATTTGACTTATCTGTATATTGTTTTAACTAACGCTTCATTAATTTGCTTGCTTTCTAGTTCAGGTATCCGACATTCGATCTATTCAAGAGCAGACACAGAAATATCGAACAGTACGTGTGCTCTGCCTATTACGGATTTATATCCTATTTTTCAAGGACAGCTCTTATTCTTCTTCAGAGCAAATCACAAAATAACGTCACTTATTTCTTCGAAAAACATAGAAAATCGCCAAAAAAGGTGTCCACATTTTATCAAAAAATATATCTTTCTGAGTCAATATTTTTACCCATGCAATTTTACTTTACTTTACTACCATCAAATAGAACAGCCCTTCAAGTGAGCAGAGAGCTAATCAGTTAAATTACAAGATCAGTTCCAGCTTTTCGTTGCCCGAGCAGTTTCTGCGATTTTCAGATACTGACATAAAGAGTCGCAGAACTTCCACTTTGATATTTATTTGAATGAATGAAATTGTAAAATTGAGAAATTTTGAAGTGCAGGTGAAAGATATTTTTGCACCAGTTTCGCAAAACGTGCGAGCCATCTGTATAGCATTATTCTGTCTAACTCTATCATCAGAAAATACGTAAATTCCTGTTTTGCATGAAGGCGATACAGAATTAACACACACAAGCTTTCGTGGTGTGTGTGAGAGCATGTCATTCTAACCAACTGAAGATCCGTAGTTTGAATTCTGGGTAGGACATAATTTATCTCTATATTTTGGGCTCCGAAAATATTTAAGTTCTTTAGCTGAACAGTTACTGCTATCACTACCAGTATCATTTATTTTTAAAGTATACAGATTACTTTAGCTTAAATCTCTAGCACTTGTACTTAATAATGACTTAAAAAATATTCAGCTTAATTATTCTAAACCTTCAGGAAATGTAATATATAATATCCAGAAAAAAATCACATGTTTCTCTCAAACCTAAATGAAGGGGGGCGGAAAAGAGAAAGCTAATTTTATAGTTGTTTAATTAATACCATCTCTGAATCGAAACACAAGCTAGAATAAATGAATAATAATAAAAAATGCGTGGTTGAAACTGTTAAGTAGTTAATTAACCATTATTAAACACACGAACGCTGTCTTCTCAAAAACAAATGCCTTCATAAAATACTTCTTATATGAAGAAAACCATAGAAAACCTATGCTATGTTCCATTTAATCAACACGAAATGAATTTGGAATGAATTATGTTCCATGGCTTTATGCAATTTCTATTGGCTCATGACCGAATTTTGATTAATTTAATCCAACTGTTAGTTAAATCTTGAACGCCCATTCATGAGTGCCAGCAAAGTTTCAGTGCATGGACTATTATGGATTCTAATGGTAAGAATCAAATGGGGGTTAAAGCACCTTTTTTTCAATTAAAGTGACAAATTCAGGATGGCCAGGAAGAAATATTTGTGAAGAAGCTATTCCAAAACACAGATAACTTTTATTTAGCGAAATTTTTGTTGAACCCAAAACAGACGTTTTTTAAATTGGCACAAGTATTGTCTCTGCCTTTGCTGTAATGGAACAGAAAGGAAATATATCACGTATTCAATTAACATAGCAGTTACAGACTCTAAGATGATTCTTTATTTCATAAAGTTTTGAAAATGAGAATGGCATCAGTCTTCAATTAAAAGTAGTGTATTTTTATCTAATTCTTCAGAATGTCGAGTTCCAAATTGTACACCACATGTTTGGCACTGAGTACTGACAATCCGCTAAATGCTTCGTCCACAATGAATCTTTTCTCGCTCTAGATAAGCTGTCCACCATAATCGATAATATGTACATGAAAGTGTTTCAGCAGTGAGTTCGAGCTAGTTCGTCGCGCCAAGGCATTCACATTCATTCGAACTGAAGTAGGACGTCTGCATGGAGTAAAGCTTGTCAATGGGATTGACAGACGATGGGAATATATGCCCTCCATCACTCAAGTTGGCTGTTTGTCCTTGGCTAATGAGCACATCTTCCAAGCCACCAAGGCTTCCTTCGCTGTCCATGCTGATGTCGCTCTTCATGTACTGGGCATCGGGATGGGAAGACGAGTAATATTGGCCTGTTAAAACAATAAAAGTAAAATTAAGAAACTTTAACTAACTTAACCTTTATAACAATAATATTAACATATCAAATTTCTTATTCCTGCTGCTGCAGATATACGATCTCATGCTAATGAGTCAAATGGGTATGTAAATAGAAAGAAGACTCATCAAATGATCTGGACAAATAATATCGTTCAAAATAATATCATTCTGGTAAAAAAAATCATTCTAGTTAAATAATATCGTTCTATCTAATTACATCTTTCTGGTCAAATATTGTCTTTCTGATCAAATAGTATCGGTCTGGTCAAATAATATTGTTCTATATGATAATATCGTTCTGGATAAATAATATCGTTCTGGCCAAATAATATCGTTCTGGCTAAATAATATCGTTATGGTCAAATAATACCGTTCTGGTCAAATAATTTCGCTTTATAACCAGGCTAACACCATTTCTTTTATGATTTATTTATCTGCATAAAATTTCTTATCCAAAAGGACAAAGAACAGACTTAGATTTCGTTATTTCTAGTTTGCAATCAGGGGTAAGTATTGGATAACATTCAATTTGAACGAGCATTAACAAGTAGTTGCATCTACCATTTGAAGTAAATACTGAGCCAATAAGGGTACTTATTCCTCATGTGAAAAAAATGTGTCTAGCATCTGAAAACAGAAACAGGATAATCTGCATAAAATTTCTTATTCAAAAGGATAAAGAATAGAGACGTAGATTCCGCTATTTCTAGTTTGTAATTAGGGGTAAGTATTGGATAACATTTAATTTGAACGAGCATTAGCAAGTAGTTGAATCTATCACTTAAAGTAAATACTGATCCAGTAAGGGTACTTATTCCTCATTTGAAAAAAATATGTCTAGCATCTGAAAACAGAAACAGGATTATAACATGAAGGCTACATAATTTAAGAGGCTAATCTGGCAAAACGTGGTAATAAAAAATTTCGTTTCATACTTTAAGATCATAATTCATTAAGTTAATATTTTAGTTATTAAACTTAATATTTTATTAATATGTCACACCCATAGTGCAATATGATTTCATAATGAAAACAGTTACGCATATTTAAAAGAGAGAAAACTGAATTTTCTCTTGACTGTCTTCAGCCATTCTCGATGAAACTTATAAATAATTAGAGTCAGTAATTGCTATTATACCCAAAAGTTTTCGGTCTGTTTAAGGAAAGGGATTTACGCAAAATATTTAATTTGAATTTACATAATCGATATATGTTGTTCTGGATTCAAAGTCTGAAAATCGATGAAAAAGAATTTTATTGAAACAGACGATCATAATCTTGAATGTGAAACCATACTAGCGAAGAAAGCTAATGTTTTATTCATCATAATTCAGAGAAAAACTATCAACCACAGTATGGGCAACAAAAAATTTGTCTCAGCCAAAGAAACTTCATTTTTATAGGTTTCGTTTACATAAAATCTTTCCAGCGTTTTTTTTTATTAACAAGTAATAAATGGGTTTTGTTTAAAGAAAACAGTAGTCAACAGAGTCTCCTACAAAGAAATAATAAACCCAATTCCTGGAAAAAATCGCCACATTATTTCTACAAAGTTCTAATCAGTTAATGAATCGTTTTGCCCCCTCCCAGAATGTAATTATCACTAGAATATTCTTTGCGAAGAATGCAATTATCATTAGGATTCTGATCATTAAATCAACTGTGGTTCTTTAAATACTTCATTTTGGAGAATAAACAGAAGTCTATAAGTAACCAATGAAAATAACATAAGCCAGTCCTCAAGAAACCAGAAGCACTAAAGGATACATACTTTTAAGCATTTCAGAATCCTGTAACAAAAGTACGAAAGAATATTCTAAGAGTTGGCTTTCGTGAAAGCCTTTCAAAGCTCTCAAAATTAAATTGATACATATAATTACGAAGACGCAATGCTTTCAATTAGAACTTCCGGTGTGTCGCTGAAACTTTTAGTAGTGTTTTAGTGCTATTAAAGGGAAATTTTAAAAATGGTTCTACGGTTTGGTTCTACGATCATTTCCATAAATTTAATAAATTTCAAATAAAAACTGAGATACGTTACAAATTTACAGACTATCAAAATTTAAATAGAAATATATTTCTCAGTGGCCATCTTACTTATGAAGAAATGCTTACAACTTCAACCATAAATTCATCCAAGCGTTATCGAAGAAATTTCCCGCTGAAGATTAAAGAAACCCTTTGATTAAAGAAGACCTTTGATCCAAAATACCACGGCTGTTAGATTATAAAGATAGCTGTTAGATTTGAATAGAGAAAAATCCCAAAACTTCGGCTCCTAATTACTTTTTAATCATCTCCGATTTAATTTGACACTTCTGCATAGATCTGTGTGATGCAATTATATTACGTAAGAAATATTTTTACGCATGTTTTTTCATTTTGAAATAAGTAATATCAAACTGCGCACATTAGGTTGATTTTTAATAAAATGGACATGTCTTATAGGATAAAAATGAGTGCACTTATCGAAACGGAAAATTAATCACATCTAACTTTGCCAATACGTGAAATAAAAGAAAATTATCAATTACAAACGTCATCTAATTATTATAAACCGATGCGTAAAAAGTATCTGATGTGCAATAATTACTAATTATTCCGGATATAAAAGAAGTGGGGAATTATTGTTCAAAGATGCATTTCTGCATACTTCATGATACTTTTCTCCTGTGTTACGAATACTCTTCTGTGTGTGTTTGTTGAAATATCTGCCACAACATAAACCACAACATAGGTTTGAAATGGCAAATGCCAAATGTCATAAGGCAGAACATGCGTCCGAATAAGCGAATACTTAAGCCTTTGGAATGGAAGGTTTGGTTCTACGTTGTTAATCTGTTTAGATGAGAACCGATCTTGTCAGTTGCATGTCGACTGAGCGTAAAAGTTCCGCATATCGTTTAGCGTATCTGATGTACCAACATTTATATGCTATCAGGAGTACTAGTTTGTACGCTATCAAAAGTATTAATATGGTCCGCATTTTCCTACTGCAAGTATTGCACTTTATGGTACATATAGCTAACAATGCCCTTAATTTTTCTGCCTTAAATGGTCTTATATTCAAGGAACTGCGCAGTTTCTGTTTTGTGGTGTTGTGTCACTTCAAGTCTGAGCATGAAGGCGATGAGCGAAGTATTTGGATTAACATTTCAAAGTGCGTGGGCATTTTTGAACAGGCGTAATTTACAACACATACGGCAGGTCAGCTAAAATTATCACTCAAATTTATTTAGCCTTTCCTGCAACTTGATGCAACTAAGCGGCCGAATCCCAGCTGAGAAGTTTCCATATTGGGCAGAATGTGGGCAAGCCAGTCAAATCACCTCGGAGAGAGGATACAACTAATTCCTTTATATTACAACCCGGAGGCCCCAATCTTGGAATTCAGATTTAGAACTATCTCACTGGCCCCCATTACTGAATCGGTCCACCGAGTGTTCGCTCCATCTCAGATGCGCAATGACCACGATGGGGGAGGCAAAAATAACTAGCTCACCTTGTTCTTAGCTCTCACGCAACCCACTCGGATAGTCGGAGCCACCACCGTCTGGAATAGCATAGGCTGCCCTTTCTGGCAGTAGGAACCAGGTTCGTATTATTGTGCCTCCAGAGTCGTTACTTTTATAGTATGACACTAAGCCAGAGTACGCAATACCAGAGAGTAAGTTAAAAGTATGAAACTCTGTTGATTGCTATGATATGATACAAATTTCTCTGTCGATATATGCTTCAAACATAAATATTTTATCTGGTTCAAACTTTTCATCTTTGAAAACTAGATTTATATGATTTAAATTCTGGCTATTTCAAAAAAGAAAAAAATTAAGCTATGCATAGGTGTTTGCATTTCATTTACTTTAACTTAAGTTTTGACGAAATTCGAGGCAAATTTAGATACAGATTAAATGGAGTGAGACTTGAAGGAAAATAGCTCACTCACCTTCTGAGCCGTGTGAGGCATAAGGAACTGGAGGTAAAGGGAACTGCGAGGGGTCGGAATCCCCAACGGACAGACGAGCGTATGGTGGGGCTGCAAAAATTAAGAAAGATATTTTCAATGACTTAAATGCAGCCACGAAACTTTAGATACATCAGTAAAATTACTAATGAATTTCCAATATAACCTCTATTAAAGGACCCACAAGATGCTGTAATTATTTTAAGCGATATAAAAAATATTTTATTCTGATTGTGTGATGTTTAACCACAATTAAAGAAGTATTTACGAAGAGTTTATTTTTCAATGCCTCCAGGAAAAGACAGCGTATGTAAATTACATTTTCTTAATTTATTTTGGGAAGATTGGGTTGGGTTATTATTTATGGTACATTTGGATAAGGGGTTTTACTTGAATTATATTTTTTTAAATCACTTAAATTAAAATTGTCTTCATATAAATTAATAGTCATAATACTAACCTAGATAAAGGCCGTATATTGTTTAATTTTCGGAGCAGAGAATTCAGTGGTTACAGGATTAAAAAAATTACATCTTTGTGGATAGTTAAAAATAAAAATACAGTTACTGTAAAATATCGGTTTAAAACTTTCGCTAAAGGAGTTTTGAATTTATTTATTTTCAATGACTCAGAAGGTTATAAGCTTTAAAATTCTAATATAATTAAATTGCTATAAAAGTGGCGTTTTAGGCAAAATTTGAGAGACAGCTTAATGTGCCATTCTTGCAGACAAAATACTTTTCTATTTGATCGAACAGGTGTTAAAAAATGGTCAGCGTACTGTGCCAGTTCAGAAAAACATATAAAGGAATCGTTTCGGGCTTTTTATGAATAAATTACTATGTGGGACTAGTTATTTGATGAAAATAAGGGGTCTCATGGATGAAAAAAAATCTAATTTGGCCACCATGTGACTTCCTTGTACGGCATATTAAATTTACACAGTTTTTGCTACACTTCATTTAAACTTATTTCCTCGAATTATTCTAACTTTATTAACCGATTACTCAAGGCAAGTTGAAAATAACATAAAAAACTGCAAATTTTGAAATTAAGTATCCCGTCAATTTTCGTCGTACGGCAGACAAACTTCTTAGAATTTTATTTTTTTATGACAAATATCAAACTTTCCCTAGTATAAGTATAAAAATCGGGAAATCGCATTAAAAATTAATTTCTTTATTTGTAGAATTTTTTTTAAATTTTAAAATTGCCGAATCATGAATATTTTGGTCATTTAAAACACTTTTGTAACTGGAAGTTTTGTAACTGGACTACAACCAACGATTGCCAAAAGAAAAGCCGGATAAGGATAGTTAGACCGGATAAGGTGGTGGATATGTATATATATATATATATATTTGACACTGCCAATTGCAACAAAAAAAGGAGGTGCACGCCTTGTTGTTTTAGCACTCTCATATAGAAAAATTCAAAGTTCTACGGCCAATCGTTTTTTGTTATGCAAAATACCTACATACATACTTACGTATGTACAGATATCACGAAAAATTCTCTTTTGAATCCATTTTAAGTCCCTTTTGCAATCGGTCCTTCATTCTGTCGGTACATACAGACGTCACACAAAAAAATCGTCCAAATGAATTCGCGAATAGTCAAAATGTATATTTTCGTTGAAACATGATAACCGAATTTTTTGCGATTACAATTCTACCTTTACTTCGTACAAGAAAGCTAAAAAATTGTAAAAATGAATCGATAATATTACTATATTCTTTATTGTTTAGTGAATATTCTACAAGCTGATAAGACACGAAGTCACTTCTCAAATAAATTCGTCAAAACATAGGTAGAAAAGAAGATAAATGACAATGAAATGACCTAACCAGTTGCCGAGTTTAAATCCAAAAATATAACTTCACCTGTAAAGTTGAAGAATTAACAAAATTACAAAATCCCGTCTAGTAGGACTTTTTTTCTTGAGAACTCAAATCCCGTATTGTGGAACTGCCTCACGTTTCTGTTTTCCTTTCTTTTAAACTCTCAGAAACTATAAAGTTTTAACGTTTCCTTGATATTTCCCACAAAAGAACTCTCGTGAATTTCAATATAAAAACACAGAATAAATTCTGAAAAAAGGGAGGATAGGATACATTAAAGTATAAACAAAAAACAAATTTTAACTAGTGAAAACTTTTATATTTACAAGAGATTATTTTTCCTTCAGCCCTGGCAAAATTATACATCTTTTGTGTAGTTTTATTTACTATTAAAAAACTTTTCATTTTTTACTAAGTTAGAAAAACTGTAATTCTGAAATAAAGTGGGGTTTACCAACGGCCGAGCTGTAACGTCTCTAAACACTGATAGTTCGACCTGGGATCAAATCCCGACGAACGAGCTGGCTGCATGATTGGTTTCTGGAGTTTTCCTCATGTGTAGCGTAGATACAAACCAGTTTCCTTTAAAAATTCCTCCACGAAGGCATCCCGCCCCATAGGCAGATAATCCTTGAGTTGTTTTGCCTTAATCAATTAACCTAATCTAATCTGACATAAAGTAGAAATGCGTTATGTAAGACGACATTTATAAGACAGATAATCTAAAATAAAATTTTTATTTCAGAATCACAGTCATAATCATTGCTTTTGAAACAGGGACTGCAATTTCTAGCAGCAAATGGGCGCACATTCTAAAGCATTATACTTTTATTTCAGTTAAGACAATTTCGTCTTCTTCCATTGCAATACAAACATTTTACCAATTTGTATGTAAGGTTCTAGCTCATTTAAAACTATTTGGAAAGCTAGATCTTAACTTGAACAGTGAAGGGACTATTTGCTAAATTCAACTTGTATCAATAACTGCACATAAGAAGGGTAAATCTTTTATTCAACTCAGGAACAATATGAAGAAATGGCACTCCTGGTGCTTAAAGAGCCTCGCCAATACTTTTGGCGGGAACTTAAAATAGAAAACGTAAAATAAAAACTAACCCTAAGTTGAAAAATCAGCCGCAACAGCACAGAGATAAATAACTCATAGTTGACTCATGGCTAATACCGGTGTAGACTAGCAGGCAACTAGTATGCACGGCCGTAAAATAGCAAGCTTAATAGGCATAAAACAGCGTGGCAAAAAGGCAGAACACGCCCTGCACGTTCTCAACAAGCTCTATCTAAAGTAACTCAGACACCAATTTAAATAGTAGTTTTCTAACTACTTTGCATAATACGCGAACCTAAAATCTCATTCTGGCAATAAAGCATGGGTTGGAAACGAGAGTTTATAGGAAAGATTGCTTCCAAAATAAAATTCACTGTTAATAAAAAATTAAATAAAATCCCAGATGTTTACTGGAAAAAAAAAAAAAAAACTGAAATTGCCAAGTTGAGAATATCTGTAACTTTCTTTTAAAATATTGCCATTTTCAACTTTGTTTGAGGAGCCACTGATAAAAAATTTTTGTGTTTTATTAGTGTTTAGCATGTAGAGACATTAGGATATTTTGGAATCAGGAAACTTGAAAAATGAGCAAAGCCCTCGACGGGAATCGAACCACGGACCTCTCGAATACGCGCCGAGCGTATAGACCACAACACGAAGGCGGGAGAAATACCTTATATACCTCCCTTTTAAACGGCGACTGGGGATTAGGGGACCCAATCGCCAAATCCTGGTGGTGGAGAATCGTCATCCACCACCTTTTAAAGTTAGGGCGCCACTGTAGAGACATTAGGTATTTTTTTGGAAGCAGGACATGTGACAAATGAGCAACGCCTTCGCCGGGAATCGAACCACCGAGCTCTCGAATACGCGCCGAGCGTGCAGACCACCACACCACAAATGCACGCTAAGAAGTCGGGAGAAATACCTTATAAGCATGCTGTTGTTGTTGTAACTTACCTCACTTGTCTGAGAGTAACATCAAACCAAGCCTACGAAATTAGTCGTAGTAAGGAGTCCAAGACTGCCCCTGCTGTTGGCTAGAGCCTTGAGCACCATACAGGTGACAGTACGACTTATCTTAGTTATGCCCCCGGTTTTGATGGAGAGCACTAAGGGGGGTACGGGTCCGAGGGTCTCACACCCTTCTTCCCATTCCAGTAACATCTTGAGAGGATTTTCGGCTCGCTGCGTATTTAGAGTGCTCCCATGCCACACAGACACTATACATTTACATATATCCATGTCTTCTTCTCCAGGATGCATATTTCAGAAGTGCACATCTGTATCGCCACCGAGGGAGCCGAGGGAGTGGCTTCTAGAATGGACCAATGGGCTTCCAGTAATATTTCTGTCATTTCACATGACCTATGCCGCGCTTTAAGCAAGATTGTCGAAAACGTTTTTCCACGCAATTTCCTGTACAAAATAATTAAAGCATCGTGGATTTCTTGTTCTTTAAGCATAATATTATAATAATGTAATCCTAAAATAATATAATTAAATGTAAGAACAATTAAAATTAATTAATTAAATACAAGCACAATTAAAATTAAATAATTAAATACGAGAACAATTAAAATTAAATAATTAAATATAAAGTAATTATACATGTAAGTAGTAGAAGACTGAGCATTTTTTATTGTAGTCTACCTGAAAAATATATCCTATAATAATATAAGCAAACTGATAATACTATAAGTATAAAATTATAATAATATAGTCCTATAATAATGTAATTAAATATAAGCACATTATACTTGTAAGTAGTAGAAGTCTTACCATTTTTTATTGCAGTCTATCTGCAAAATATATCTCATAATAATAGCCAATGTACAGTTTCACAGTTTCAAAGATTCAGCATCACAAGAGCAATAGAAGCTCATTGGTCCTTTTATGAGACCCACTCTCTCAGTGGCGATACTGATATGCACTTGTGAATTATGCCTCCGGGATTCAAACCTTGACCCATCGGTACGGCAGTTAGAGTCACTAACCATTATCCCGGTTGGGCGGCAGTATGTAACAATCTTTAATTTATAATTCTTGCTATAATTGGTATACTAAAGGAATTTTCACACAAATAATTTGGAAGTTTTGAAACGCTAGAAATACGTTATTAATATTCTCATGTAATTTTATTACTCTAAAATCTTAATCTAATAATCATACAAAATTCATCAGCAGATTAGAAACATATTTTTAATTTTTTTTTTTTTTTTTTTAAATTTTTTATTTAAGCAAAGAATGTTACGAGCTTGCTGTACGGCAATACTGAAATCTTCTCTTGTTTTCTAGAACATGAATTCTGTAGGTTTCTGTGAAAAAGATCTCTTATTTGTATTGGTCATTACATTTTACAAAAATCTGTAGAGATGTTCGTTGCTTAATCTACGTATTAATATCAGAAACCTTTTACTACATTGATATTTTGATGTTTTATTTTAAGTCCCCTAGAAACACTTGTTGCAGCATCGTTATCAAGGGGTTCGTTGCACCAACCCTCTAGTGATGATGCTGCAAAAGTACTTTATTCCCTGTCCCCTTTCCATTTTTAATTTTAACATTTTTTGCACCTTTCATACAATTTACCACTGTTGTTTTTTTTTATTATTATTTCCCATGGCTTGTTCCGTATGGGGATTCTGTATATGGGATGAATTTTAAACTTATTAATTTAGTGTATTTCGCAATATGCGATATATATATACATAAAATTCAAAATAAACTAGAATATATATATATATATATATACATAAAATGCAAAATAAACCAGATTGAACCAGAAGAATCAGAATTTAGTATATGTAAGAAAAGAAAATAACGAAAGCAAAAAAAGAAAAAAATGTGTCGAAACGTAATAGAAAAGTAATAAAAGTCATCAAAACTAAAACAAAGAGTTTCATACTTCTTAATATCGCTTCAGGTTTATGCACCGAGACAATGTATCATCGTAACCAGGTTTTGAACTATGTGTTAACACCAAAAATTAAATTCAAATTTCTGACTTTTGTACATCAATTAGCTACTTGTTCATTAATGTAGTCAAACTCCTGCCTGGCTACAATACAATTATGTGGACCGAAATACTCTAATAAACAAGTTAAAGAAGACCAAACTACCAAATTAAGACCAAAATAAACATTCGAACAAAATACCCTAATAAACAAGTTAAAGAAACCTAAATCAACCCGTGGGAAACAAACAAACAAAAAAAAAAAAAAAAAAAAAAAATCACCAAAGAAATAAATTAAAAGCATAAAACTAATTAGGAAATATTTAAAAACTGGAATACAGTAAATCAAAATGACAAAGTTTTATAAACTGCAATAATTGTACATATAATTTAAATTATAAGCAGCTCATATGCTATATAATTAAAAATGAATATTATAATTACAAACTGTCGAAGAAAAAAAATTGAGGGTAATAAATTTGAAGGACGAGTTTTAGTTATTATTGTAAAAATAACTTAAACAAGTAATTTATGCGGTAAACAGAAACAAAGATTTAAAAAAGGAAATACAATGCAGTACAATACAATGAATTAAAAAAAAAAGAATCATATTTTAACGATCGCTTAAAAGGGCTCTTTTAATATGATTTATCAGTAGAGATTATCAATATAGATGGCCCAAATGAAATAATGAAACATGAATAAACACTTGGACTAACAAGAGAACGTTACATGTCTTCTGTACAGTTAAAAATTTAATTCTATAAAAGTATTGATTGTTTTTAATTAGATATACCATGAATCAAATGCATTTTTATTAAAATCAATCAGCTTAAAAAGTACAAAAATAATAATTTTAAGAATATTGCTTTTAAATACTAATTTAGTTTGTTAATAACAGATGGATTAAACATGAAAGAATAATCTTTTACGTTTTTTCGAATGGTAGCAGACTCGAATGAAAAGTGTAACAATACAAAATAGTATTTCAAAACTAATAGCCCTTTTGGACTTGATAATTAAAATTTAGTTAAAATTAATGAATTTTCCTTTCATGTAAATTCTGTAAATTTAGAGAGAATAAAAACGAAGAAAAATAATAATTTACCTCGCGAGTCCTGCCGGCAACTTTCACGTGAAAAGGAATTAAGTGAAAATTATCGATGCGTGATTGTAACATTTGAGTTAAAGAACAGTTACAGTTAAAGAACGGAGATAAGAATAAGTATATTCGAAGTTGCTAGTAAACCGAATTTAACTTTTAAGGTGATTAAAAACTTAATTTTCGTCAAATTTACACCATGTGGTTCTTTATTAGCCATGTATTAGTTGAACTGCATTAACTTTCTAAATGAGATGTTAATGTTTAACTTTAAAGCAGTTGATTTAATTCATATGCATAATTACAGTCACTCTCTTTTCCTTAGAAATTTTAAGACATGCTTGACTGTTTTATTTATTTATTAATTTATATTTATTGTTCTTTTTGCTTGTGTTTTAATATATCCAGTCAACAATAACTGTAAAATATTATACTTATTATTATTATTTGTTTCAGATTATTTATTCCCACTGAGTCGAATGCAATGGAATTTATTTTTGCCCGCGATATTTTCTACGGCAATTTTTTTCAAACTGCAATGTTTTTGAAGTGCTTTACTTTTCTACGACGATGTTTTGTATCACGATGTTTAAGAACTGCGATGTTTTCTCCTTTTCCTTTCGCCTACGATGTTTTGTACGACAATGTTCTTCTCTTGTGTTGTTCCCTTCACAACGTTTTCGGCTGCGATGTTTTCGCTTGCAATCCAACAGATTTGTAAATTTAACTTGTAATGAAAGCATCTAGTTAATTTAGCTCGAATCTTTTAGTTCTTAAAATTTTTGAATAAAATTTTCCGAGAACGACAAAATCGCAATAATTATTGCACGCATTTTAATTTGAAAAAAGTCATTAAGAGAATTCAACTTACAATAATCGGCAGGATCGCCATGACTCAGTTCGTCTGATTTCTTCCCGTCTTTTCCAGGACTCGAAAGATCAGCATTGGATCCCCCGTTTTGCTGCCCGTCAGCTCCTTGCTTTTGGCTCTGTTGCTGCATTTGCTGCTGTTGCTTCCTTTGCAGTTTCTTTAGCTGACGTGGAATATGTGGGAGGGAGACAAAATATTGTTAACCGGCTTGTATACCAATTCAAATATGGAACAGTGCAATAAAATAGTACAATTTAGCAAAACACTTCAACATACAATTAAACAAATACAGCTTGATACAATAAACTACAGACCATGTAAAAGCTGTCAAATTTTATATTTTTTCGAATTAAAAAAAAACCTAATGTTTTGCTGAATATGAATTTCGTTTCTTTCTTTCTCTCCCCCCCCCAAATATACTGAGGGTAACGATCGAAACTGTGAAAAGTTTCTAAAATCACGATTTATGACAGTAAAGTGTTTCTTCGTTCAAAATTTTCTTATTAAAATAATAATGCATGGCTTCACTCGTTTAAGTGTCTTCATTTAATGCTGAGTGTTCATTATGGTTACAGCCGATAACCTGATAACACAGATTAAAAATTTTTCCTATTCATAGGCCTATTTCTACAGCATTCAATGTTCCATACATTCGAAAAGAGAAATTTATAACGTCTCTTGATATATATGAAGGTTTAGTTCATGCCATTCATGCCAGTTAATAATCTTTCGCAAAAAGGCAATTTTAGAAATTAAAATAATGTTTATAAAATTTAGGTTAATTTTCAAAAATAATAATTCATAAATTTTTTGATTAACACTGTATAGACATTATGTATTTTTTAGAAGCAGGAGTCATGTAAAATGAGCAACGCCTTTGCCGGGAATAGAACCATGGACGTCTAGAATACGCGCCCAGCGTGCTGACCACTACACTACGAAGGCATGTTAAGAAGGCGGAGAAAATACCTTATATTCTTCCCCTTTTAAAGGGCAACGTGGGTTTAAGGGACCCTATCGCCAAATCCTGAGTGTAGAGAATCATCATCCACAAACCTTTTAATTCGGGCACCACTAGTAGAGACATGAGGGGTCATGAAAAATGAGCAACGCTTTCGCCGGGAATCAAACCAGGGACCTCTCGAATACGCGCCGAGCGTGCAGACCACTACACCACGAAGGCACGCTAAAAAGGCGGGAAAAATACCTTATAATACAAGTAGTGTAAAAGCATTTAACATGGGAAACGAATATACCTATCCCAGTATACTGTTTGTACTGCCGATTGGAATAAAAAAAAGGGAGGTATACAAACATATGTTATAGCTATAAGATCTATCTTTTATTTTCCACATAAACTAATCTAGATCCTACAAATGAACCTGGCGCATTCTCGCACAGGCGTGAAGTAAATACCAGCACAGAAGAAAGGTGAAAACAACCCTTTATTAATTCCAACTAAGAACAGAAAGACACGATCATCGTGCTTTACAAAAACACCGACAACCTGTGTTGAAACTTAAACGTTATAACATAAATCAATTCAAGTCTGAATAGAATAGTGCTGGATTAGCACGTTAAATTACGGCTAGCTTAGGTTGACTCAACAAATAGGCAACAGGTGTGACAATTATCCGAAATGGCCAAGGGGCGTATTAGTGTAACAGGAAGATTAGCAACGAAACATGCGCTAGCTAGCAAAAACACGCTCTGAATAAACTTCCAATATTCACCCGTTTAAATACTCACTTCACTTTAAATTTACATCCCGGGGAGGAAATGCGAGGTGAAGTTGAGGAGTTCAGGAAGGATAACAAAAAATTTAATAATGCGTTAGTTAAACTAAAGGAAACCTTACACAATATACAAAATTTCAACGTTTTATAGCTAATTGTTTTTGAGTTATGCGAGGTAAATATATGCCTATAAACAGATGTCAAGAAAAAAATGCATTTTTAAATTCATTTTACAATCCATTTTGGAAAAGGAATCCTTTATTTTGCTCCTACGTACAGACGTCACGGAAAAAAATAGTCAAAATGGTTTCGGGAGCGGTCAAAATAGATTCTCAATTACAAAACTTCCTTTATATCTTACAAGGAAAGACAATTCCCCAGAATAAAATGATAAAGGAATCATGCACTTTTAAAGAAATAATTTCATATGATCATTACCTTGGCTCTTTGGTTCTGGAACCATACTTGTACAATTCGAACACTGAGACCTGTTTCTTTCGCTAGAGATTCACGAACCTGAAGAAGAAAAGTGCAAAATGAATATCAGCCGTAAATATATATCAATATTTTAATTGTAATAAATGTAAATAAATCTAATGTGTGGCCTTGAGGATGATTCAAGCTGGTATTCTTGTAGCAATAGTAGATGAACAGAACCATTTAGGATAACAACCGATAAAGTATTTTCTCACTCCTTTGCCAAGTATTGGACCCTAAGACAACAAGGGGCAAAAGATATTTGCCAGCCTCATTAACCCATATTCACTGAGCTAACATCAGTAGTGACTGATGCGAATGTTTACGTACGTCTTTGTTTAGCAGCGTAATTGCAGTTTCTCAACTAACTCTGAAGGGGACATCTTTAGGGGACCTACTTGAGGCGCTGACGCATAGATAATGGAGAATGAGAGACCTATACCAAAAATATGGCTTTATTTTTTTCTATACACATTAAAATACCCAACTGAATTTATGTACTATTATAATGCGTCGAAAAGCATACAAATAATACGTATTTTTTGTATATTTTAGGTACACAATAGAATAAATAATGCCTATAAACAGATGTCACAAAAAAATCTATTTTTAAATTCCTTTTCGTGATACCAAATAACAAATCGAAAAATACATCATCAAAAATTGAATTTCCTAGTAGTAATTTACTATATCATTGTTTCAGCGCCAGTTTCTGAAAATTTAGAAAATATTCGCGTAATGTTCCCCTTTCTCAATGAGAGGAGAGCGAACTCTCCTAAATTTTAAAATAGATCTGTCCACGTGGTAATTGTTTTCATCTTATTAACAAATCCTTGCAAATTAGCTGCGAAGGTCACGCGGAACCTTTCCTTTCTAACTGTTGAATTAATACAAGAACCGACCATCACAGCGAAACAAATGCATTTACATTCAGTCTACGATTTCGCCGAGTCAGCAGCACACTCACGTCCTTTAATTATTTATGGATGATTTGGAGTAGCAAAGGCAGCAGTAAAAACCAGTGAGATTCAAGTTATGAGGCGGCAGAAATGAAGACAGATATCTTATTAGGTATTATAATTTTAATATTATTATGTATTTTTATTGAAATATAGTTTTCTTTTAAAGAAATAATATTGTGATAGTTACCAGCAATTTAGCTATGACTACTTTTCATTTGGCCCGGTGGCGCAGTGGCTAGCGCATCGCGCAGCAGCACCACAGATCCGGGGTTCGATTCCCGGGCTGGGCAAGGTTGACTTAGCCTTTCATCCCTTGACTTCCATCACTTGGGTCGATAAAATGAGTACCAAGTTCGCTTGGGGACTAAACACTGGGGGTCGTGCGACAAGCTAACCACTTGTTCAGGGCATATGCTTACGCACCCGGGAAAGCAGATTTCGGGCACTGCAGACCTTGGCACATTAGGGCTGTTACGCCCCGTAAATTTTTAGTTTACTTTTCATTATGTTCCTAATATAACCGCATCCCTCAGAAATTAAATTATTCGCAAAATATCCCCTCTCTCGTTTTTTGGACGATAAAATTAGTTGAAAGGCCTGTTTCTCTTAAAAGTCCGTGAAGAAGGCATCTCTCTTCTTAGGCAGATGTAGCGTTTGCTTTTCTGCTGTAATGCTATCCAAAGATTAAATTGTTATTAAGGTTTCGGGATTAATCAAAGACTTCAATTTCTTTCAAACTTTATGTGCTAGAACTTTAATCTTATGCATGATAATTTTATTTTATTGAAAAATATAAAAAGAGTTTACTTGTTTCAATAAAGTTTTATATTACACTAAAAATGTTAATACTGGAAATGCTAATTAACCAGTTTTATTTACATGTATTATTTTGAAGAACTTGCACAGAAAAAATAAATCATATAAAATAATAGCTTATAATTAAATAAAAAATTTATTGTTTCAATTATTTATTTTTAACCTTTGGAGAGAAAAATTAAAGCGAGCGTAAGCTTATATATGAATATTTTTAAAAGTTTAAAGAGAAGACAGAGAAAATTTAAAATGTGAGTTCTTTCGTGTGAGAATTATTTAAAAGGGAAAAATTTCTTTAAAAAAAACTCTCCTTATATTTTTTTATTTGCTTATTTTCTTAAGAATTGTATTTTTCTTTATTAGGTTTGAAGAAAATTAAAAATTTTCAGAATACTTAGTAGAATGTCGAAAAAGTTTCTTAATTTAATGATACCTTTTTGAAAGTACAACTGAATAAATTAATTTTTTACCTCAAATATGCAGTTGTCAGACAATCAGGATTTAAAATTCAGAGCGAGCTACAGTAAAACTCATATGTTTCTTCCGTCCATAAAACGCTTCATTTAAATAAACATGCTTGATATTGTTCAACGAGAAATATTTAGCTACTACGAAATTTAAGCATTAGTTTATTTAAAAGATCATATTATAATTACCGCTAAAAATTTAGCTTGAGCTGATAGCTGATATAAAATGTAGAAAATTTTAACAGCACTGATGTTAAAGGATGTAAATATAGATAGGACAATAAAATTAAAGAATCGAACCTAATCTACAATGCAGCTGCATAAATACGTTAGGAATAATTCAAAGATAAATTATTTCTCTTTAACTTAAATTACTGCAGAAATTTTAAAGTTAAGCTATTTAAACTTTAATTTAGAAGTCAAACAACCAAACATCAGCGTTATATTTGCAAATTTTCGCAGAACTAGTTTCGATGGTTTTACCGGTTTTGTTGTTTGACTTCTAAATTAATACTTGTTCGGAGAATTATTTTATCTTAATTATTAAAACTTTATATTAAAAAATGTGAAGAAGAGATTTTTAACATACGTATATCACATTACAAGATAACTGTGGGTAACATTAAATCAAAAACGTCTATTAACACACATATAATACTAATTTCATTTTAGATAACATTTGATTTTTCCAATGTGTAATATGAATAGGAATTAGTTTGCGTAATTGAATAGGAGTTAAAATCTCATTACATATTAAGCAATGAGGTTTTCAATGAGAAACACAGGGAATTAAATTGTTTAAAGGAAGAAAAACAATAACAGTGAAATAAAATAAAAAAGTGTAGAGAGCTTGCCTTCCTGCAGGGTTTTTGGCTGATTTCGAACGAGGCCTTGAACGCTCTCCTCTGGGCAGTTGTGAGAATAGTTCGAGGCCTTTTCGGCCCCCTCCGTCCGTCCTGTCGCGGCTGACCGTTATGTGGAGCTGTCGGGGTCAATTGTCCATTTTCACCTAGATCACATAGTATATCAAAATGTAATTTTTTTCCCCTCGCCTTAATAAATGCAGCATAGTTTTCTATAATTTACTCATTTATCATAAAAAACACATTACTGATTATAAATATATCTACGTAACTACGAATGCTAATAATATTTTTACGTACTACCTATAGATATTGAGATAAATCATTAAGATAACAGAAAATTTTGATGCTAATACACTTCGAAAATACATATCTTGCTTCCTGACTATAGTAGTTTTATGAGCAATTTAACTTTATTGCAAATTCGAAATTAAGATAATAACAATAATTTAAGCGTAGGCATTTTTTCCTGGGAAATTTGCATTTCTTCCTTGCGGCTGCGTAGTTTACACTAAAGATGCGTAAAGTTCAACGCTATTCTAGTCCCGCGTAGAAGCCAAGAAGGTGTCAGTGTATGTATGTCCTCCCGACGACCTGTTTATCGACGTGGCCAGTGCCCGTGATTTTCTTCAGCATGATACTGCGATATAATGTAAGGAATCCAGACATGGATAGGAGCTGTCGAAGATTATAATGGAAATAGGAATCTAGCTTAATATCCCAAACAGCATCGTGTGAAATTGTTGCAGCCAAGTGTCTGTCGACGTACCAGTCAAATTAAGCATCCGTTATACAACTCTTATCTTCATTATCTTATGCTCATTCCTCAGCTGTCATAGACTGTCATAGCGTGTTCATCGATTCTGCAAAGCTCGAGTACAGCAAACTTAACAGCATATATGCTCTTCTGGTAAGGAACCAAATTCCTCACTACGTCATCTCATCAACACCAAATTAAAATTTCCATCTTTATTTATTTATCCATATTTCCATCTCTCAAGCATATGCAGATTTTTATTTGCATATCCGTATATTTTGCGTAATATATTTAACGAAAAAAAATTAATCCAAATAGTCCAGAGGACTATTAGTCTCAAAACGGCATTTTGGTTCGATTCAACTTAAATGTTTGAATCACTTTTTCGATTGTTGCCATCAAATATTATCGCCTGTATTATATTTAAAGAAACTAAATAATGAAAAATGTACATGAATGTATGTATGTTTCTCCTATTGTGAGAAAAACAACGGTACCTACAGCCATCAAAATCTGAATAACATATAGTCCTCCACTCAAACATGGGCACACGTAAGTCTGAATTTAGAGTTTTGAATTTGTTTTAGTGTCTGTTTCATATTTTGAATGAATTTCATTAAAAACTTAACAATTTCAAAGCGAGCAGTGGCAACCTTATAGAGAATAAAGCATTTTTAAATACGCTCCAGCGTGCGAGACAGTCTATCAGAAATTCTAAAGATGCGCTTTTTTTTAAATATTTTTAGCCCAACGTGGTGTTAGCCCAAATGCTCTCGAAACGTGTATGTGTCTAGATGAGGGGAGGGGGAGGGGAAAAAACTGTTTGGTTCTAATATAAAATCTAAAATCTATCAGATTATTTTTTTAAAATTTATTTAGTCATGAATGTTTTGAAAATTAGTTCTCTCTTGAACAAATTATACATGAATTTTACTATTAAAATTTAATTTAAAAATAAAAAAATAATTATTAATTTTAATTGTTCGAAGTTTCTTCTTATTATTTATGCTAAAAATGCTTCTGTGCCAGTTAAATGCTTTCTTTTCCTCTTTTGCATTCACTGGCCTCGAGAAAAAATTTAGCAAAGGAGAAAATCAAAGTAAAATTTATTAAACGTTAATTAAACAAAAACAGATGCCAATATATAAATTTTATGAATATTTTTAAAATGTTACCACATTTAAGATAAGTAAATTATATACATTGCTTTATTATGTAAAACTTTGATAAGTTTATATACAGTAGGCATCACTTAATGTAATCGCGGTTAATATCATCACTCGGATATTGCTATCGAATTATCGAAGTCCCGTCCATTCATATACGAAGCCATGGGGAAACACTTCTCTTATTGGAACAGCAGCTTGGTTAATGCTACCAAAATGTTATAGAATGATTTTTTTTAAACTGGAATAATGATGCCAAATAAAACATAAAAGTCACTGAATAAGGTCGAAATATAATATAGAAATTCTCAACTGACTGAAATTTCGCCAAGTAAGGAATTAAGTCGCCAAGAATCTTGATTTTGATTTCAGGCAGCATTTAAGTTTTGGAGACGCATCTCAGAGAAGATAATAAAGATCTATTTAACACATGCTAAGGTTTTAACATATGATAAAATACAGGAGACTGAATTACTAAAAACATCCTAATAAACATGAGTTGGAAGGAAATTAACGCTTGGGTGGATGTTGATGAAGAAACTCAAGTTGCAGCATCAATGACAGAAGAAGGTATCTGCCTTTTCTGAAACAAAGTTCCAGAAACATTTTTTTTCCTTTCCACCGGTGGAGGCTTAGTCGACTTATGCTTGGCCACTACTTAGGCCAGAAGTGGTGGCTATTTTAGTGTGGAAGCTTTAATAGGTAAGCCATCATTACCTCCTATGAAGGGACGAACAAACAGCCCAACGGACATAGTGATTAGCATCGCTGACTGCCGTGCCTAAGGACCCGGGTCCAAATCCCGGAGAAGGCATGGATGTTTGTAAATGTACAGTGCCGGTGCGGCATGGCAGCACTCTAAATATGCGACGAGCGGACTGTTCTCTCTGGTGGTTTGGTGTAAGGGGTGGGAGACCCTCGGAGGGTTCTCCATCAAAATTGAGGGCGGAACTGAGATAATCACACTGTCACCTGTAGGGTGATCAAGACTATTGTCAACGACAGGCGTATCTTGAGTTCCTTTCCTCGAGAAATATTGTGGGCTTGGGCTCATGCTACTGTCAGATAAGTGAGCATAAGTAACAACAGGGAGGGACAATTACAGCCTTGCCTTATTCGGGATTCGAACCCGGGCCCTTCGATATCCCTGTAGGCTCTTCTAATCACTATACGATTTGGACGGCTCCAGAAATATTATAAATATGAACAGTTTATAACTGAACTTTTGCATAATTATCCTGGATAATCAACTATTAATGACTTTTTCTCTAAATAAAATAGGGCAAAATTAAGTATTTACATATTTCTAGTTACATTAAATTAATCTGCATTAATAGTTTGAAGGATATTTTTCTCATCGTTTAATGTTATCAAAACAGTCATGGATAAATATGATAACAATTGCCTATTATATTTATTATGGTTAATTTATAGTTATGGGATTGTTCAGAATTTGCAGCACTGATAATTACATTAATTCGACCCGACAAAGTCGAACCGTGTGTTCCTACCTAAAGCACATAAGAACTCAGAATATATTACCTCTGGTGACTATCTGCATGACGGCCATCTCCTTTTCGAAGTCGGGCCTGCAGTACAACCTTCCGCTCCTGACTACGAACTGGTCACCTTTCTGAAGCTGGCGGCCGCAGCCCACGCAGACAAAGCACGGGAGGTGGTATACGTGGTCCAAGGCGCGCATCACTAGCTCCGTCGGCGCTATGGGTAGCACGCATCCTGTACATTTGACAGCAAACAACCTGCAAAAACACCATAAAATTTTTTAATTCAACAAAACCCCAAATTATTATATATTCGCTTCCGAAGTCTTAGTAGTATCTACAACAGGCGTCGGAAACTTTTTTTTGGCTGCCGGTCAAAATCAGCTAAAATGTTTGCATTAAGAAGACATTTCGGGTCAGAGGTATTTTCATTTCAGAATAGTCTTTCTTGGTGAATAATAAGATCACTTTTATTGAGAAAGTAATTAAAATGCGCTATAAACTTTAAACATAAAAATTAAAATTAAATTTATCATTATAAAAACAAACATAATTAAATGAATAGAAGAGAAACATGCCAATGTGACAATCAAAATCGCAATAACCAACTTTGTATTTGGCGTACGTATATTAAAACACTCAATCGATTTCGAGGACAGCTAGCGGTCCCTCCTCATCAGGAAAACAAAATTACTAGAAAGGGGAAAAAAGAAGAAAAATAAAGCATCGGCAAAGGAGTCGCAGAAACACGTGGTCGTTAACTAATACTGAACCATAAAGTTTATGAAAAAAATATATTCCATTTTACAAACGATCAACCGGAAATGATAGCTCGTTCCGCCAAATCCATGGCTCCACCCATGACCGAGTGGTTAAGACCACTGAATACTAGTAGTTCAACCTGTTTTGCTTTCCATCTCAAAAGAAAGGGTTGGCTGCATAATTGGGTTTCGTAAATTTCTCTATGTGTAACGTGAATACGAGCTAGATTCTCTCAGAAAGTCTTCCACGAAGTCATCACTCCTTGTAGGCAGATAGCCCTTGTGTCTTTGTCATATTCAAATACTCTAACCGATCTCATCTCTTATTAACATTAATAACCGCCAATGTTTGGAGGGATGTCATGTGCTGGCAATATATTTATTTTCCCCCCTGCTCCCCCTTTTTCTTTTTTGTTATGAAGTTGTACTTTACAGTCAACTGAATAGAAGAATGTAATATTGGTAACAAACTCGTAATCATCTACCCGGCCCTACCGACTTAGGGAATTATGATGAACAAAAATTAACTTGTAATGTTAATTGTTGCTCATCATAATTCCCAACTCATGCTTTTATATATAATGAAGGCAGAATGTGTTAGAATTATATAAATACAACACGGATAGTTGTTAAATAATTTTTTATTAAAAGCCCAATTCTTAATGTCTTTATTATCCACTATTAGGAATGATACATTCACAATCAGTTACTTTTTTAATGCGAGTGCAGGCTCAAAGAAAAGCGTATGCAAGCAAAAGTCTAGAATTAAGCGAAGCTGAGGCCGGGTAGATTGATGAATGCCCGAATAGTGACTTAATGCACACGACCAAGTTAACTCGGGTAAAACGAACTAATTTATTTCCGCGTAACCAAGTAAATATGTTCAAGTTAAAAAAAAAATTAAGCAACAGAATATATACACCACAATTTTGAGTTAAAAAGATTGAGTTAAAATAAAAAAAGTTTTAAAAAAATGGCGGGAAAAGCACCAATTTCTTAATTTGTATTGGTGCATTAAGACGTTAAAGAAGTCTCAGAGATCGAAGATCTAAATAACCGCTTACTATAGGATGATCTGTCGAAAGATTTCTCGTTGTTTCGCTTAACACAACTTCTTTTTCACGCAATCTTCAGTGGCATCCGTAGATTGTATTATTCAATTATGGCAAAGCACACGAGGGCTATCTGCCTAAAGGGGATGCCTTCGTAGAAGACTTTCTAAGGAAACTGGCTCATATACACGTTACACATGTAGAAAACCACGAAAACGCCCATGCAGCCAGCCCGTTCGCGGGATTCGAACCTCGGACCGAGCTACCAGTGTTCAGTGCCTTTACCGCTCGGCCGTTAGTGGGCCTGACATCCATCGAAGAAAGTTTTCAGAAATTTAGACAATCAATTGGTAGGAAAATCAGGATTCCACTACATGTGTAAAAATGTAAGTCAACATTCTATCAGTTTATCAATAAACTATTCATTATCATAGTTATCTATAAAAGGTTATTACTTTTAGTATTCATTTAACAATGAGATCTTCGGCGCATTAGTTTCGTTACAGTTTTACGTGATTTTATCGTATTAACTTTCCATACTATCACCTGCGACTTCGGCTTCCCTAATGTATACTAGACAAACATCTCATATGTTGGGAAATCATCTGCAGCTACGTGGCTGTGAGAATATGGATTCTGAATGGTGGATGGGGAATAAGGATTGAGAAGAACTTCATTTGATCGAAACCCCTCTTCCCTATAAATCACAAATGACCTCATAGCGACGAAATCTATTGTCGTCTTGACCCCCTCCCCCCATATCTATCTACACCATGCTCTTAAAACAGGGACGCAGCTTTAACTCTAACCTTTTCGCATTGGTCATCTTAATGACCGACGGTCGAATCCCTTGTGTAAACACTGAGGGTGAGGCGGAGGATGGTCATTTGAGGTCACCAAACTGTCGGAGGGGATTAAGGACGTGGGATTCTGGGATCAACAATACCGGTATAAGGTATTCTTGGGGATAAAGTGAGCATTGCTTGTGCCTCGTACGCTCGTCGAGGGATGTTATGTGCACTGATGGCGGACATTTTATGTGGGAAATGTCCATAAGAAACGCAAGAAGGGTTGCAATGAGACCCTTTTAATCCTACTGATGTAGATTATAGTCTTGAGTTTGGACCAAATAGTTTGCAATACATGTGATAGGGCGAGTTTATATTCTTGAATGGTAGCAAGTATCAAGAAATCACTGGAGATGAAACTTTAATAAAATCAATTTAGGCATTTTGGATAAAAATGGCAATAATATATGCAAAGTATGCTTACGAATTATAGCTAATACTTGAGATGGTAAAGTTTTTCGTAAAACACCAAGATTATAAAATTCAACGGGTTTAATCAAATAATGGAACTCTCGTCGCTTCTGTGACTTAAAATATTATGAAATGAGAAAGAATCTTTAAAAAATCGTAAATTAAATAAAAAAGAATAATGAATAAGACCAGATATTTAAGAAATTTTTGAAAATATTTCTTATTAATTAATGTACATTCTTTCTCCGCTTAGATTCCGCTCTCTCCGCCAGAGATTACCTAATTTATGTTCCTTCACACCAAGCCACCATACATGTCTTGTCAATACAAATCAACAAGCATACTGCAGGTATTAAAAAAGAAAAGACTCTTAAAGCCATGGTATTTAATATTGCCAATATTTTGTCTCTGTGTGGCAAAACAGGAGCAGGAGTATAGTCTGAGCATGCACGCTGGTGTACTTCTTCATATTTATACCAACGGAAGCCCAGCTACATTAATATTGTTGAGGTATAGCGTACTTCCGCCATAGCATTGAACAGAATAGCAAATGATTAATGAAAGCAACGCATTTCAGGCAGTGATGGGGTTCTAACAATTACAGCAAAATACTGCTTTAACACGTATATTTTCTTTGTAAAACTCATCGTACATTTAAATTACCTTATATGCAGAATACACATTTTTTTATCATTATTGTAATTTTAAAGCAAAAACTTGATTTTTATCCTCAATGTTATATTTAGGGGAAGAAATCTTGAAAGTTTTGGAAATAATAGTTTCAAATACAGCTAATAATAAAATGTTATATTTCCGATACACATAATAATTTTTTATGCATAAAATCGTTTCGAATTTGCATTGGTAGTTACAGATTTATTCAGAAAATTTGAATAAAAATGTTTTTATTTTAAAATTTAGAGCAATTTTTTTTAATTTCGAGAAAATTCGTATCTAAAAAAAATGTGACATATTTTTAAATAAAATCAGTGCCTCGAATAATTTATTTCTTCTTACAGCAAAATTTTAATAGGTTCTCTCAGTACATTTAGGTAAGTAACATTGATAAAACAGTATTTTGTTTGTTTGTTTGATGGACAGAATTTTATAAAAATGTACTTAAATACTGAAGAAACTCATGAAATAAAAAATGTGAAAAAAACTTGCTCCATCAATCTGCATTTAATTTTTTTTACCTTCTAGCATTATAACCCTATTGCAATAACTGCTCGGCAGCTTTACGTTTCGTTTTATTTTGTCTTTTAAAGATTCTTCTTCCACAGTAACTTTATAAATCATTGTTTCAACTTTGAAGAATAAAATTTGTCAATCTTTTGAAGCTTCTTACGTCTATTATTGTACACTCTGGGGAGGAAGGAAGGAAAAAAAAAAAAAAAAAAAAAAAAGCAAACAGCCCTGTCTCCCGTTCTACTGGGGCAATTGATGAAATTTAATCGCGTTTTCCTGCATTGAAAGTGCGACTTAAGATATATATTAAATTTAAAGCACTAACGTAAGTGTTTTGACATAAAATCGAACTTTGTTTTTTCAGAAATGACATAATTATTTTTTTTTTTACATTTTGATTCTACTACGCAATTTATGCTCAGATACTATATTTTGTAAATTTTGGTAAGAAACTTACGGAGAAATTTGAAAATTTATCTTGGCGCACTTTTTTCAGCTTGCGCCAAGAATAATTCACTTGGCAAAATTTTTGATGTACAGAGACCTATTTTCTTTTCCCTTTTCTCATTGTACATGATCGAAAAAAAAGGTGCATCGTTCACTCTTTCAAATAATTTTAATAGAGTGCATAATGCACATTCGCGTTATTATCACTTATAACAAATATTCCAATATATATATATATATTCACGTATATCTTTGGAAATTTTGAATAAAATATGTAACCCTTTGCAAATATGCCTAGAAATACATCTAATTTAAAGTGATTGTAAAAATGTTACAGTTTATAATTCAAAATTTGTTTCGAAAATTTCTATGACAATAGGTATGAATCATGGGAAGTGTATTTTTAATTAAAAACTCTATTTGATGCAATGGAAGCAGTTTCGTGATGAATTACTATGAATAGATGAAACAGAAACAAATAAATTATTAGCAAACAAAGAGATGTTATTTGGAAATAAATTTGAATTAGCTATACAGAAAATATTTTATCT